CGTGGTCCTCCCCAGAGGCAGTGAGGAGGGCCCGGGGGCAGCAGGTGGCCCAGCTGTGTGTGTGAACAGCCTGGCAGAGTGGCCTCACCTCTGCACCACCACCTGGCCCTAGAAGATTCTGTAGGTACTAATAAGCTAATTCTAAAATTATAAGGAGAGACTAAGGAACCAGAAAAGCCAAAACAATTCTTTTCTTTTTTTTCTAGGGAGAGATTTTTGCTATAGGGCACATGTGCTTGCCAGAGAGACAGAGAAATAGAAAGTGAGAAATGGACCCCAGGGGGGTTGGCCACACTCAATTTTTTTTCCCTCCATTCTCCTTTCCAGATTTGGAACATGTACGCACATAGGTCCAGCATGAGTTTTAAGCTGTCGGGTCCAGGACTTGAACCGCAGTCGACTATGTGGGAGTACAGTAACATAACTACTACATCATCTGTTGGTTCCACAAAACAAGAAGATTCACACTACCTGATACTGACTGGCAAAGCTACAGTAGCTACTACAGCATGGTATTGGCAGAAGATCAGGCGTAGAGATCAATGGAATGAAATCACGAGTTCAGGGGTAACTAGACCCTCAAAAACTTGGCCAAGTAAATTTCACAGAAATGTAACAGTAATTCAGTGGAGAAAGGACACACTTTCTAAAAATGGGCTGGAACAAATAGATTCTTACATGCAGAAACAAAAGCTTAACCTAACCTCACACCTTCTTCCAAAGTTAACTAAAACTGGATCGTGGAGTTAAATGTAATACATACAACTAAAAAACCTGGAAAGAAAACATGAAAGAAAAATCTGCAAACTTAGGTACAGAGTTCTTAGATGTCGTGCCAAAACCATGATCCATTTTTTTAAAAAAATCAATAAATTTGGCTTCATAAAAGCCCAATTTACTTTCTCTCTCCACAACACCCTGTCCAGAGGACGAAAAGAGCGAGACTAGAAGGAAACATTTACAAATCAAACATGTGCCAAAGGATGTGTGCAGGCATATGAACTCTAAGCCAAACAGTAACACGGACACCCAGGGTTTGTACACAGCAGCTGTGCACAGATGTGTGTTCGTTCTGCTTGGACAAGGTCATGCTGTGCCCGGTTCTCCTGCCTCAGCCCCCGGAGGCCCTGGGGATACAGGTGCATGGCACCAAGCCTAGCCTCCAGGTGGGCCCAGAAGGGGGCCCGGGCCTCCAGGTGGCCTTGGCCTGGGACCAGCATCAACCAGAGCTACTGCAGCCGGACTTGAACCGTGCACTGAAGGTGATTTGGTGCACGCCAGTGCACAGCTTCGGCAGCATGGAGTCCGCACACGTGCATTGCTAATGTGGCCTTGAGGAGAGGGCCACCACTGGTATGGCCCCGAGTGTGGCAAGGTCCTTGTGGTAGGATGCAGAGTTAGACGCACCCTGGATGTAGCCGCCTACCTCAGGTGGTCACAAGGTGGGGCAGAGAGCTGGGGGAGGGTCGTCAAGGTGCGCTCACACACTCCAGACGGCCCTCGGCAATGAGTGAGCACATGGTGGTGAGTCTACACCCGGACTTCTTGGCCATGAGAAACAGCCCAGACACACTTGGCAGCAAAGGGTGTGCAGAGATGCCAGGCCACCTGCGGGGTCTGCATGAGGGGCAAGGAGGTGTGGATGTGGGCCACAGATGCAGCACTGGCCGGACGCACGGGCTGGGCTGCCCCGCCTTGGCCTCAGCGCACGAGGAGTGCAGTAGTGAGCACACGTGTAAAGGGAAGCACGAGTGTCCCTGCAGTGGCCAACACCTGAGCTCTGTGGACTCGGTGGGCCAAGGCGGCATCCTGGCCTCCACAGCCACGGCCATGGCTCCAGCAAGCCACCCTGGCCCTGCAGCCCCCCTCTCAACAGGGACCAAACCTGCCAGCCGTAGCAGGGCCGGGAGCTCACGCCAGCTCTCGACGTGCACCTGTGGGCTTCGCATACCATCCCCTGCTCCCAACCTCACCTCCCTCCCCAGCTCCCCTACTGCTCCCACCTGACCCCACAGCACCTGCTCCAAGGTGTGCACTGGGGGCGCCCTAGGGCAACCTTCCCGTGGTCGGGGACTTGGGCCCCAGGAGGCTGATAAATTCAACATAAAGAGATGTGGCCCAGGCCCAATAGGGACCCTGGTTGAGGTCTCCAGGCCTCCTGGTTTCTTCACCAGTAGCAGACGGCAGACCACAGGCCTCTGGAGCCTGCGCCAGCCCTGAGCTCCTAAGGGACTCTGAGCCGTGACCTCCCGTCCCCTACGTCGGAAGGTTAGAGAAGGCTGATATTGCTATCGCTCCCAGCTCGCGGTTGGGAATGAGTTTAAACTTCAGAGGGTATCTACCCTGAGGTGTGAAAGTCCCTGGCCTGGCGCCAATGTGAGGGAGAACACTCACCCTACGACCTACCCAACTCCCGTCAGAGCAAACTTCCAGAGACTTCTGTAGACCACGGAGGAGTGAACCAAATGGAGTGGACAACACTTGGGGAGCTAGACTTCGTCCTCCACAACAGAGTGGGGTCCCAGCACTGACATGGTGGGCACCGAAGAGCCGGAACTGGCCCAGCCAGCAGCGAGGATCTTCTCGAATCTCCTCAGGAAGTCTCTAGAGGGGGCTCTATGGGCACCTCGCACGGCCGGGTGGCAGCCGGGAGTTCCGCAGCAGGTATGTGACCATGTGCCTGCCCTGGAGCACTGGACGGAGGCCAGGCAGCTCAGCCTCAGCGAGGGGAACACTTCCCGAGGGCAGGCAGCCTGCGAGGGCTGCAGTTCTTGGCAAGGCCTGTCTGCAGGGTGGGGGACTCCCGGGAGGACACAGGACACTTCGTGGGGTCTCAAAGCCGTGTCCACTCTGGGCTCAAGCTCAGCACAGCCACTCTGGAAGGACTCTGTGACTTGGGTCTGACCAGGTCTCAGGAAGAGCAATGGCTGCCACCTCCTCCCAGCTACCCACCGCCTGCGCTCCGGCTCCAAGCCTCATACCCAGAGAAGCAGTGGTTTTTTTTTTTGTTTGTTTTGTTTTGTTTTGTTTTTGAGAGGTTTTCGCCATAGGGCACATGCACTCGCCCGAAAGAGAGAGACAGAGAGACAGACAGAAAGTGAGAATTCATCCCCGGGGGGATGGCCATGCCGCAATCCCTTCTCTTCCATTCTCCTCTCGGGATCTTGGGCATGCACGTACACGCACCCTGTGAGTTTAAGCCACCGGGTCCAGGACTTGAACCAGAATCCAGAGACATAGCCATTATGCTAACTGCTGGTGCCCAGAAAAGCAATTTTACCGCAAAAATAGTCAATAGTCTTTGAGAATTTGCTTTCCAAACTTTGTCACAGTTAACGAAGTAGAACAGTATTTCCTGTATCCATGCACATTTCTACAAGGATCCCGTACCTGAGCTGGCAGGCCCCCAGAGCAGCTGCCTCCTGCACCCAATCTTCTGCTCCTTCTTTGTATGCGTTTGGAATTTTCTGAATTTTTATTTTTGAAAATAAAGCATTTAAAGTGAATTCCGCAAGTTGCGAGAGCATGCAGCTTCCCTTCCTCGCCCTGAGGGACTGCACTACAGGACCCCCCACCCCCACCATGGTGCGGATGGTCAGAAAGCGATGTCCCCACCTCCTCTCCCATGCCCCCAGGAATTCATTCACCAGCCAATTCACAAGAGAAGCTGCCGAGATGACCAGGCAGCAGCGAGGCAGAGAATCGCCCGGCACTGTCACCAAGTCCTTCGGGGATTGGGAAATGCCAGGGCCCAGTGTCAGCACCAAGTGCCCAGAGCAGGCTGGCAGAGGGAGCGTTGGGGACCGAAGGACACAAAGGGAGCATTGGGCCACAAAACCAACGGTCGGAGCAGCCCTGGGCACAGACACTGCACTGAGAGCCTTCCAGCATCTGACCAAGGGTCTGAGGCCAGCACATGGGCGGGGTGGGGAGAGCCTGAGATCCTGGCTGAGGGGAGAGGCCAGGCAGGACCGTGCTCTGGGCCGGGTAGCCTGGGCAAGGTTGCTGCAGTATCGGGAGCCAGCAGGGAAGGTCTGGCCAGTTTCAGCTCGGTCTGGCCTTTGG